ACATGCATATGCTAATTTAATCCTTTTATCAAAATTCTTGAAATGTAGGTAAGGTTATTCCTAATTTAAAAATTAACAAATAGGGTAAAAGGTAAAATAACGCGTAAGGCTGTTCAGTTACTAATTGGTAGAGTCAGGACCTGGATCCAAGTTTATCCAACTCCAGAGACTTTAGTCTTCAGCATGACAAAAAATTACTTTTGAAGAAGAAACAATTCTTTGATGAATGTTGAACCAAAGTTCCTGATCCTAAGAATCACCTGGAGAACCTATAAAAAATAAAGTTCCCCAGGCCCCACTCCAGGTTACTGAAAGACCCTGCAAAGAAAAGCCTCAGAAATCAGATGACTGTTATGATCAGGCAATCTTGGAAAATAGTGGCATGTGACAAAACCAAAGGCAGGAAGAGATTCTGTCTCATAAATTATTATGTCTGGGTATGAAAGTATGTGACAATATTTCATGCAAACTTTTAGATATTTATGCAATTACCCTAAGAGCAATTCAATCATAACATTCTTTTTAAAGATTTTATTTATTTACTTGAGAGAGCGAAAATGCGAGAGAGAGCATGAGAGAGAGAGAGAGCATGTGAGGGGAGGGCGAAGAGAGAGGGGCAAGCAGACTCTCCACTAAGCAGGGAGGCCGATGGGGGGTTTGATCCCAGGACTCTGGGATCATGACCTGAGCCAAAGGCAGACACTTAACTGACTGAGCCACCCAGGTGCCCCCGTCATAACATTTTTAAATGAATGAGAGAACAAGAAGAAAACTAGATTGTCTATTTTCTTTACAGACATAATACATTTCTTTTTTTTTTTTAAGATTTTATTTATTTACTTGAGAGAGAGAAAACATGAGCGGGGGGAGGAGCAGAGGGAGTGGGAGAAGTAGGCTCCCCACTGAGCAGAGCCCTGGGATCATGACCTGAGCCAAAGGCAGACACTTAACTGACTGAGCCACCCAGGTGCCCTGACGTAATACATTCCAAAATGGAATTTCACAGATTTTTTAAGAGAAGCAATAAAAATTAAGAGAATGGATAGGGTAGCAATTGGTAGCATGGTTTTAAAGCAGTGTTTCATATTTCCAAGAATTTTAGTACAGACTCTTGATTCAGTTTACCTTGATTATTAAGAATTTTAAAATTACAAATGACAGCTCATATCCTCAGGTAAAGACACCCAGCAGTTGACCATTCACCTTGATGGAGAGTATTTAAACCGTAGTTTGGGTTAATACGTTTATGGGAGCCATTATGGCTTAATAAAATTATAATGAAAGTAAACATATTAAGCAATTTGACAAATCAAAATTCATTTAACTCATATGAAAAAAGGCCAAAAAATGAGAATAACTAAACTAAAACCACAGTAGTAAAAGCAGAGGCTTTGGAACCATAAAGACCTGGATTTTAATTCTGGCTATGTGACCATCAACAATCTGCCTCCAGACTGCTCCTCTAGAAGATAAAGATAATAATAATACACAGTTCAAAACTTCTACTTCCAGCCATGATGGAGTGACAGGGTTCAGATGTACCCTCCCATCTTAAACAACTAAAAAATTAGACAAATATATAAAACATGATATTCAATTAATGTAACATAGCAAATATCAAGAGAACAAAAAACAAAAACCACATTATTTTATAACAGATGCAGAGAAGCAATTTGACAAAATCCAACATCCCTTTGTGATAAAAACACACAACAAAATAGGAATAAAAAGGAACTTCCTCAATCTGATGAAAGGCATCTATGAAAACCCATACCTAACATCATACTTTATGATGAAAGACTAAATACCTCCCCTAAAGACTGGGAACAAGACAAAGATGTCATGTCCACGTTTACCACTTCTATTCAACACTGTATTTCAGGTTCTAACTAAAGCAAAAAGCAAGAAAAACAAATCAAAAACATCCAGGTTGGAAAAGAAATAAACCTACATCTATTTGCAGATAACATGATTTGTATATAGAAAATCCTAAAGAAGCTATTAGAACTAAAGAGCCAGTTGCAAGAGCAAGGTTGCAAGAGACAAGACTAATATATAAAAATCAACTGTATTTCTGTGCCCTAGTAATAAACAGTCTGAAAATGAAATTAAGAAAACAATTCCAATTTACAATCATGTCTACAAGAATACATACTTAGGAATAAATTTAAATAAGGTGACCTTCACACTGAAAACATCAAAGTACTAAATAGATATATACATCAATGGGACAGGATATCATAAAGGTAATCAAGATAAAGTGGTATTGGCATAAATATAGGCATAGAGACAAATGAAACAGAATAGACAGTCAGAAACAGGCCCATACACAGATATGGCAAATAGCTTTTCAACAAGGGTACTAAGGCAATTCAATAAAAAAAGGATAATCTTTTCAACAATTGGTACTTGAACATTGGATATCCCTATGAAAAAAATGAACCTCAACCCTACATTGCACCATATACAAAATTTAACTCAAAAGGGAACGCAGACCTCATTGTAAAATTTAAAACTGCTACAAAAAAATTAAGAGAAATCTTAGTGATCTTAAATTTAGGTAAAGGTTTTTTAAATAGGAAACAAAAAAAAGCACAAAACAATGAAACATGTAACACTACATCAAAGACTAATGATGTACTATATGATGACTAACATAATAAAATTAAATTAAAAAAAAGAAGTAAAAAAGTTAATATATTGGACTTCAGCAATTTTTAAAACTTCAAAACACACTTTAAAGAAAAGGAAAAGGCAGGATGCTGGGTGGTTCAGTCAGTTAAGCGTCTGCCTTCGGCTCAGGTCACAATCCCAGGGTCCTGGGATGGAGTCCTCCATTGGGCTCCTTGCTCAGTGTGCTTCTCCCCTGCCTCTGCCTTTGCCTGCGACTCCCCCTGCTCATGCTCTCTCTCTCTGACAAATAATCAATCTTTAAAAAAAAAGAAAGAAAAAGGCAATCCAAGGACTGCAAGAAAGTATTTGCAAAACATAGATCTTAATATCTAACATACATGAAGTCCTCTAAGAAATCTTTTCATTTGTGACAAAGTGGATGAAACTGGAGGGCAATATGCTAAATTAAATAAGCCAGACAAAGAAAGACAAATGCTGCATGGTATCACTTATATTTGGAATCTAAAAAAAAAAAAAAAAGTTGAACTCATAAAAACAAAGAGTAGAAAAGTGGCTGTCAGGGGCTGAGGGTGGAAAAAGAAATAGGGAGAGGTTGGTAAAAGTGTATAAACTTACAGTTGTAAGATGAATAAGTTCTGAGGATCTAATGTACAACATGGTGACTACAGTTGATAACACTGTATTGTATAGCTGAAATATGCTAAGAGAATAGATATGCACAGATAAATATGTGAGGTGATGGATGTGGTATTTAACTTGATGAGGGGAATCCTTTCACAATGTATATCAAATCACCATGCTGTAGACTTTATATACCTTACTATTTGTCCATCACACCTTAGTAAAGCTAAAAAAAACTTAACAATAAAACAATCTAACTTTAATGAACAAGATGTTTGAACACACCTTTCACCAGAGATAAAGATATGAAATAAGCACGTTAAAAGATGTTCAAAAATGAAAATAACATTAAAAAAAAGAAAAGAAAATTAAAACCAAATGAGATACCATAGACACATACTAAAATGGAGTGGCTAAAATTACAATGTGTAACCATATCTAACGTTGGTAAGAATGTGGTTAATTAGAACTCTCATTCACTGCTGGTAAGAATGTCTAATACCACAAGTACCACAAGCTTTTCAAAAGTTCTCATTATACCACTTTGTTTTTTCAAGAGACCTACATTAGTACTTGTTTTCGCTAACCAAAAGAAATCCAAAGAGGATGTCTGCTTTACGAAAAAAAGCAAAAAGCAAAAATCGTGTTCAGTGTTTGTTTTATAGTGAGACATTACGGAGTCAGCATACCCCAGACAGCACGTGCGGTGCTGCCCAGCTCCTTCCCCAGGAACTACACTCAGTATCTTAGTGTGAGGCCACCATAGTTTTGAACTGTGTTTGTGAACATCTATGCTTTATCTCAATTTATTTTGTGCATCCAATAGCAAGATGTGTCCTAATGTATCAGAAAAGCCTAAAAGAGGTTATTTTGGGGGTCTGGAAATGCTCAAAAAATTTCCCATATACATTAATGGTAATTGCATCTTTATGCCATTCCAAATTACAAAAGGTTTCAGATAGCGGGGGAAACCTATATAATAACCACTTTGGAAAACTGTTTCTTTAAAAGTTAAATATGAAGCTATTATGAGGCTCTGCTATTTCATTCTTAGGTATTTACCCAAGATAATGAAAGCACACATCTGCACAAAGAATTATACATGACGGTTCACAGCAGCTAGATCTATAATAGCCAAAAAAACAAGAAAGTAAACAAATACCTATCAACAAGTGACTGGATTAACAAATTATGGTATTTCTATACAATGGTATACTTCTCAGCAATGAAAAGGAACTGATACACACAACAGTTTGGATGACATTCATAATAACTATGTTGAGTGAAAGATGCCAGAGGAAAAGTATACTGTATGATTCCATTCATATAAAATTCTAGAAAATGCTAACATCCATAGTGACAAAAAGCAGATCAGCAATTGCACAGTAATAGAATTGGAGGAAGGAATGAATACAAAGAAGCATGAGCAAACTTCTGAGGGCGATGGAACTGTTTATTATCTTCATTGTGCTGAGGTTTCAGGAATATTTACATGTCAAAACTCATTAAACTGATGCTTTACATATGTGCTATTTATTGTCTGTCAATTACACCTCAAAAAAGCTGTAAAAAATTAATATATATCTCATAGGATTATTGTAAGTATATGATATTGAACCTAATAAGTTTTAAGTGAGCCTGTTATTCTGGCACAAAATAATCACTTCATATATCAGCTTCTTACTTTAACAACTGAAAAAAACACTTGGGTAACTAACTCAATGTTCAAAGCACCTAAGATATACCTTAGCTTCTTCCTCTTGTGCTTTTTTAACAATTGCTTGTAATTGCACCTCTCGTTTAAATTCAGCATGAAGTAATTTCTCTTCCATCATCCGGCGTCGTTGATCTAATAATTCCTCCTTCCACTTCCGGACATCTTTCTCCTATACAGAGTGAGATATTCACATATAGTAATTTAACAGATACACAGGTTAGGAATTACAAAGTCTAGAACCTAGAAAGACCTAAAGGAGCATGACTTATGATTTAGAACACAGACTAGAAATCCAGACTGCTTGAGTTCATAATCTACCTTGGTCACTTGCTAGCAAAAATCAAAAGCTGGCTCAACATGAATGGGAATAAAACTAACATTTCAGTTGAAGTTTAGCTACATAATTGTGTTTAACCACCTAAAAAAGTATGATGCAGACACAGCACTGGATTAGGAGCTAGAGGACAGATCTTTAAAGCCCTTTTGTCAGCCAATTATCGGTCATGTGATACTGGAAACAATACTTCGCCTCTCCTAGATTCAGTTTTCACACATGTAAAATGGGATTCAGTATCTGTTCAACTCTGTGAGCTACAAAGAATTCTGGCGATGAGACCACATATATAAAAGAGTGCTGAAACAATAACCTATTTTACAAATGGAAGGTGGATTTATCATTAAAATCAATCAAAGAGATACATTAATGGAAAAATTAAACCACTAACATCTTGTACAATTTCAAGAATTTATTATTCTGTTTGCATGAATACTTGGAGATTATATTATATAAGAAAATAAACTGTATAATTTTATTTGTCTTAAAGACACAATAAGGGGTGCCCAGGTGGCTCAGGTGGTTAAGTGTCTGCCTTTGGCTCAGGTCATGATCCCAGGGCCCTGGGATTGGGCCCCACATCAGGCTCCCTGCTCAGCAGGGAGTCTACTTCTCTCTCTCCTTCTGTCCCTCCCTGCCCCCATGCTCGCCCACCCCCCCAAATAAATAAAATCTTTTTTAAAAAAATGACAGTAAGAGGGGAAGTTGTAGTTGTGTTATAGCATTTCTCTAAAGCTGGAAATTAAATAATATATTAACTCTTAAAGAACCCCACAACATGGAGTCTGTTTTTCATTTTGATTTATTCATTCTAAATGATTAAAATAAAAATAATTACAAATTCTTGAGATTCAGGTAAAGAGGAAAGTCACAGATTTCCTTCTTTTTCCAGTCAACTTTTATACTGTACTAAACAGAATCTTATACTACACCTCATTTTTAAAAATATTCGGATTATTTGCTCTAATTTTCTCTCCCAAATTTAAAATACACATTATAAGTAATGCAAATAATATTTTTTTAAAGATTTTATTTTTAAGTACTCTCTATACCCAACATGGGGCTCAAACTCACAACCCCGAGATCAAGAGTCTCTCACATGCTCCACTGACTGAGCCAGCCAGGCGCCCCAATGCAAATATTTTTCACTTCTGCATATTAGTACTCCTTTCTAATACTAGAAGATAACAAAGGAGTTCACCTATACTATAACAGTCACATATCTTTTGTCATGTTGTGATAAGTACTTGTAGTATGCAGACTCCAAGATGGCTCCCAGCAATCCCTGTCACTTGGTATTCAGATCCTTCTATAATTCCCTCCCCACACTGTATCAGGATTGTGACCAATAGAATACAGCAAAAGTGATGGCATATCACTTCCAAGATCAGGTTATAAAAGGCAATGCAGCTTCAATTTTGGCAGCTCATTTGTGCTTTCCTTCTCTCCATCTCCATCTCCATCCCCTCCTCCTTTCCTCCCTTTCTCCTAGACTATTTTCTGTGGGGAAGCCAGTGGCCATGTTATGAGGACACTTGGGCTGTGGAAAGGTACACGTGGCAAATAACTGAAGTCTATGGCCAACTGGTAAAGAGGACCTGAAATCTGCCTACAACCACATGAGTGAGTCCAAAAGTGGATCCTACAGTTCCAAATGACTGACCCCAGCCAACAGCATGACTGCAAACTCAGACTCCAAATAAAAATCATTAGGCAAGGCACTCCCGGCTTCCTTGCCCACAGATATTGTGAGCTAATAAACATCTGTTGTTTTAAGTAGGTAAGTTTTGAGGTCATTTGTTATACAGCACACATAACTAATACAGTACTCACCTGTATCTGCCATGTTGAAGTAATAATAAGAATGACCATACAATGAGCAACAGCCATCCTAACACTATGCACTGTTATACATACTGGCCACATTTAATCATCGTATCAAGTTAATAATTATAATTGTCATTTTACAAATAAAGAAACTGAAATGCAGTATTGTCAAGTAACTTGCCCAGGCCATATTTTATCATGTGGTAAAACTGGGATTTGACCCCTGCCTGGCCATCTCCAGACCCCATGTTCTTCCCACTATAGCAACCTGATCAGAAGTTACACTACTTTAAGAATCTCTTCTATAAATTCAATTAGTGCCCCACTTATTCAAACCTGATAATCTTAGGCTCAAAACTATCCTACCAATTCATCCTACACTGTCCACAAGACTCCCCAAAGAAACGCCCCCATGAGAATGGCAAAAGACAAAGTGCAGCTTCAATAATCCATGCCAACTCTGCAAACATCAACTTATTAGCTAATTGAGAAATGTCCATTTTTTTCTTTTTTGCAGGTAACCTTCTGTAATTGTATAGATAGAAATGCTTTTGTTTCCTAGAAAATTTAATTATTTTTATAGTTCTGCTAGCTTCTCTTAGACCAAAAAAAGAAAAAGAAAAAAATAGTCAAGTTAAAAATCAGCCCATCAATTTAAGGCTATCAGAATTTTCTAAATATTAAAAACTCACCCTTTCTAATAATTTCTGAAGCTTTAATGTTTTCTCTTCACGTAACTTTTCCCTTAGCTGCTGAGCTTTCATTTGTTTTTCTTCATGTTTCTTCTTAGATTCTGCAATTGTTCTATTAACACAAACAAGTGGAGAGAAGACACAAATGTTTACATGATAAAGCCAAAAATATTTTCTTTAGTCTTCAACATTCCTAAAATAAATATAAAAAGTATACAAAACTAATTCTGGCCTAACATTTCAGGAAAACATTGTCACTTTTCAATGAATCTGTAACTATCTTGAGTAATGTGCCTTAAAATGTTGTTTAGCAACTCTATTTAGTAGTCAAGAGTAGCTAGTTTCCCTCTTGTGAAACATTTCACATTAATTTTCAAAGGCCAGACCTTTTACGAGATGGTGAGGAAAGCTTTTCATGCATGTGAATTCCATGGCCTGGAGGTCTAGCAGGTTCCTCCTCTACAATATCCCCCCATGATGTATTTTGGCGCCAAGTTTCACGAGCTGCCCAGAAAAAAGAAAACCACTGTAACTCTTTAACCACATAGTTCTATAAAACCAACATTTGAGAACAGACTTTTAAAAGGCATCAGCATTTCCACTCGAAATTATTTATTTTATACATAAACTCCATTTAGTAAGATAATCTACTTTAAATCCTTCTAGCTACACACACACACACACACACACACACACACACACACACACACACACACAAAATACCTTCATAATCTGCAAGGACATCATTCCAGTCCATAGACATACCACAGAAAGATACACTCCCACTGCCCATGCTGGCCTAAAATGTAATAAGGAAAAGTGAAAAACAAATATTTGAACACAGTTATAACCTTAAAAAATGAATTGCAGATGTAATTTTCCTGTTACTAATACATTTAACAAACAGTTCAAAACCAGAAAAAAGCTATATACCTTTTATAGTTACAATAATCACCAAAATATTATAGTCTATACATTTTAAGAGGAAGATAACCCTACTTTTCATTAACAGCAGAGACAAATCAAGTAAATTTAAAAGAAACATATTGGCGTCATACTATTACCACATACTCTGTTATATTCATCGTAAACATGAGAAGAGCTCCAGATTATTCTCTGGGTATTAAAATTTAAGAGAAAAATATTTGAAACATTTATAGTTACTTCCATTCTGTAAGAAGTCCCTCTTAGCAACATACATATCCTGAGTGCTTAGTGACAGCAAGGCATGTATCATTTACTTTTTATTAGTTGAACAGAAAAAAGTAAAATACCTTAGATTCTATTTCAATCTCTGCAATTAAAATCAAGTAATGCTCTTACTTTTTCGAAGATTCAATTTATCGATTTGTAAAATGAGAACAACAACTTTCAACTTGTCAACTGAATTATATATAAAAACACTTTGTTATGGTAAAGTGCTAAAGAAAGATTTCCTATTGTTTTTGCATCAACTCTAAGTCCTTCTGGCCCTACGAATTTTATTTCTAAATGTAGTTTTTTGAACAGTTATGTTAAAAATTCTAAAAGGTCACAGAAGAACCCAAGGTAGCAGTGAAGTAGGAGTACCCTAGGCTTATCTCATCCCAGGAACACAACTAGGTAACTATCAAATCATCCCCCAGAAATCAGCCTATAGACTTGACAGGACAAACTCTACAACTAAAGGGAGAGAAGAGGTCACACTGAAGAAGGTAGGAAGTACAGAGACATGGTTTAGGGAAGAAATGGATCAGATCGCAGGTACTGCAGAGGGGAGGGAGCCCTGGTCACAGGGAAGGGTGAGAGAGAGTGACAAGCACACAGGGGGATACAAAAAGAGAACGTTTCCCCAAAGCCTTTGGCTTGGAAAATGAGAGGGGCTGAATTCTGTGAGTTCTTGCAAACAGCAGGGCTTAAAGATTTGGAGTTTTAAAAGTCAGCAGCTTGGCTGGGATGGAGCCCAGAGGGCACAGCCCTGCTCCTGGAGAAAAGGTAGGCAAAAAACCAGGGGCAGACAGTGTGCAAATAGTAATCTGAAGAACACCTGGGGCACAAAGTAGGGAGATTATTCACTATTCTAAGAGCATTTCCCTGAGATGCAGCACAGTGTTCACAGAGATGCCTCTCTGGGAACAAAAGAGCTAAATGGAGCCATTTCTCTTCCCCATCCCTCAGCATAAACACAGAGCCATCTGAGGGAAGCAGCTCAGCACCAACACTGGCTGCCTAATTTGCTTACACCAAGCCCCATACCCCTGCACTCTGGCAGAACTGTATTTGTCAATCAAGCTTGCCTTAGTCCCAGCATGGTAGGCCCCTCCCCGCAGAAGATCAGCATAAACCCCTGCCCATATCACATCTCCTGACCAGAGAGTTCTGCAAGGCTCAGTTCTGGTAGAGTTGGTGTCAGGTATCAATTCACAAGCACACCAGAGCACATCTGGTTAAAACTCAACACATTCAGGCCAGGGATCAAACACTGCCCCCAGCAGGCAAGGAGAGCCTCTGCAGACAACTGGCCTGAAGGACAGAGCAGCCAAAACACAACAGCACAGCACACACAGCACATACCAGAGACACTCCATGAAGTTCCAGACCCAAGGCACTACATGACCTCTTCTTCAGAAGGCCATTACTTTCAGGAGAAGGAGACGACTGGCTTTTTTTAACATAGGAAAGAGGGCAGAGACTTAGAAAAATTGCCAAGATGGAGAAATTTATCCCAAATGAAAGAACAAGATAAGGCCATGGCCAGAGATCTAAGCAAAACAGATAAAAGTAACATGCCTGATGGAGAATTTAAAGCAATAATCATAAGGATGCTCACTGGGCTTAAGAAAAGAATAGAAGACATCAGTGAGACCCTTACAACAGAGATAAACAAGTTTAAAAAAAGAATCAGAGATGAAGAATGAAATAAGTGAGATGGGAAACAGACTTGATGCAATGAACAGCAGGCAGAAGGAATGAATTAGTGACCTCAAAGATAAAATAATGGACAATAATGAAGCCAAACAAAAGAGAAAGAAGAATTATGCAACACAAGAATAGATTTAGGAACTCAGTGACTCCATCAAATGGAAAAACATCTGTTATTATAGGAGTCCCAGAAGAAGAAGAGAGGGAAAAAGGGGCAGAAAATTTATTTCAAGAAATAATAGCAGAAAACTTCCCTAATCTGGGAAGGAAACAGACATCCAAATCCAGGAGGCACAGAGAACTCGAATCAAAATCAACAAAAGCAGGCCAACACCAAGACATACTGTAATTAAATTTGCAAAATACAGTGATAAAGAAAAAAAATCTCAAAAGCAGCAGGACAAAAGAAGTCCTTAACTTACAAGGGAAAACCATAAGGCTAGCTAGAGATTTCTCAACAGAAACCTAGCAAGCCAGAAGGCAGTGGCATGCTATAGTCAACGTGCTAAATGGAAAAAAATCTATAGCCAAGAATACTCCATCCAACAAGGCTATAATTTAGAAGAAGAGATAAAGAGTTTCTCAAACAAATGCAAACTAAATGAGTTCATGACCTCTAAACCAGCCCTGCAAGAATTATTAAAGGGGACTCTTCCATTGCAAAGGAGAGACCAAAAGTGACAAAGACAAGAAAGGATCAGAGAAAATCTCCAGAAACAACAACAAGTAATACAATGGCAATAAATATGTATCTATCAATAATTACTCTGAATGTAAATGGACCAAACACTCCAATCAAAAGAAATAGGGTGTCAGAATGGATTAAAAAAAACACAAGAGCCTTCTATATGCTGCCTACAAGAGACTCATTTTAGACCTAAAGACACTTGCAGGTTCAAAGTGAGGTGGTGGAAAAACATTACCACACAATACTTATATAAGACAAACTAGACGTTTTTTCTTGTATTATTTTTATCTTTTGGTATCAGTGTAGTACCGGCCTCATAGAATGATTCTGAATGTGTTCCCTCTATTCCATTATTTATAAGATTTTGACAAAGATCATCAATTTTTTTTTTTAATGTTTGGTAGAATTCACCAATGAAACCATGTGGTCTTGGGCTTTTCTCTGCTCAAGGATTTCGGATTCCCAATTCAACTTTCATTCTTGTCATTGGTCTAAGAAGATTTCTTACTTTCTGGATTCAAGATTAATGATTCAATCCTGGTAACTTGTAGGTTTTAGGAATTGCCTGTTTTTTTTTTCTAAGTTATCTGATTTGTTAGTATATAATTTTTTATAGTAATCTATTATCATCTGTTGTATTGTTTTCTCTTCCATTTCTCATTTTGGTTTTTGAGTCTTCTTTTTTTTTTTGTTAATATAGTTAAAGCACTGCCAATTTTGTTTCTTTTGGGGGGAACTGGTCATGACTTTCAATGTTATATGATTGTTTATTCTGGTCTCTATTTTATTTCTGATTTTCTTTGTTATTTCCCTCCTCTACTAAATCTCAGCTAAGTTTCTTCTTTTTCTGCTTCCTTGTGGTGTAATGTTAAGTTGTTTACTTCAACTATTTTTCTTAATGCAAATGTTTATAGCATAAATTTCACTCTAACACCTGCTTTTACTGCATCCCATAGGTTTTGGAACATACTGTTTTCTTTTTCTTTTGTTTTGAGATATATTTTGATTTGCTATTTGATTTTATTTGGCCCATTGCTTGTGCAGTAGTGTGTTAATATTTACATGGTAGATTTTCCAACTTTGTTTTATTGTTGCTCTTTAGTTTTATACCATTGTGGATAGAAAATATACTTGGTATGATCTCAGTCTTCTTAAATTTCTAATATTTGTTATGTCTCTTTTTATGTGATTTAGCCAGGGGATTCTTCTGTGTGTACTTAAAGAAAATGTGTTTTCTACTTTTCTTGGATGGAATATTTTATATATATCTCTTAGAACATGTGTTCTGCAGTATGCTTCAAGTAAAAAATGTTCTTGTTGGAAAAAATATACCTTAAACTGAGGGTACTCATTTAAAATAAAGTATATCAGAGGCAGGGGGGATGAAATAGGTGATGGGGATTAAGAGTACACTTACCATGATGAGCAATGAGTAATGGAAAGAATTGTTGAATCACTATATTGTACACCTGACACTAATATAATACTGTATGTTAACTACAGTGGAATTAAAAATAACTTAACAAAAAAAATTAGAAAAAAAGCTCACAGAAAAATCACTGTCGTTGTCAGTTTCAATATTAATATCATTGTTTTCTTCTGCTTCAATTTCTCTGGTTAACTGCTCCTCTTCAGCAATAGCACTAGCAATGGCTTCTTCATTGGCCTTTTCTAGACGATCTGCTAGCTCCTCTTTTTTAGCAAGAACTTCTGCCATGGACTATAAAATTGAAAATAAACAAAAGAATCATCAGTTGAGTGGAAAGTTAAGTAATCACTTCTTTCTTTATGTTCTAATGACACGCTCAACAGTATACAAAAAGTTGCACTGATCTGGAATTATAAAAAGTGGGGTTCAGTATAGGTTCAACCACATGCTACCTGTGTGACTTGGATACTTCTTAAAACCAAGAGCATATATTGTATTCCCAAAATGGTACAATAATCCATGACTTACCTTCTTTATCAGACTGCTCTGTATGAGAAACTGTGAAGTTATACAAGTAACAGTAATGTCAAAGTATGAATTTAATTTGAGGGCCAAAATTCAAAACAGTTGTGGATCAAATATCTTTAAAACAAAAGAAAAAATATATATATAAAAGGAACACAAAAGATTTTATTCTGTAATGGTGATGTTACTTTCTGAACATAGAGATCTAACTTAAAAATATGCATTAGAAAAAAATACAAATAATATGCATCCAAATCATTAACTAATAAATCCATATGATAAGCTAAAAATGTATACTAGAAATTCTAAGGTAAACACTGAAATAACAAATGACTAATAAGCCAACAAAGGAGATAAAATGGAATTATTAAACATAATTAATCCAAAAGAAGGGAGAAAGAGAATAAAAAGGGAGTGAAGAACAGATGAGTCAAAGAGAAAACAAATCATAAGATGGTATATTTAAAGGAACCATATCAATAATCAACAGTTTAGACTGGAATAGTCTAAATACCTCAATTAATAGAGATTGTCCAATGGGATAAAAAGCAAGATCCAAACACATGCTGCCCAAAAGAAACTCAATTGACGTATCAGAATATAAACAGATTACAAGTGAAAGTGCTACAATGCTAACACTAATCGAAAGAAAACTGAAGTAGTAATATCAGACACAGATTTTAGAGCAAAAATATCAGGAGGGATAAGAAAGGTCATTTAATAATGACAAAAGGGTTAATTCATCAAAAAGACAAAACACACCTATTTATGGACTTAATAACAGAGATTCAAAATACATGAAGCAGAAATGGATCGAACTGCAAAAGTAAATAAACTTAAGGGGAATGCAAAAAGGTGCTGCCGGTTTGGAAAACAGTCTGATAATTCCTCAAAAAGGTGAAACGTAAAGTTACCATATGACCCAACAATTCCACTCCTATGTATTTACCCCGAAGAAATGAAACCATATATCCACCAAAAACATATATACAAATATTTAAAGCAGCATAATTTATAACAGCCAAAAAAAGGAGACAGCCCAAATGTCCTTCAACTGATAAATGGATAACATGTGGCATATCCATATAATGGAATATTATTTGGCCACAAAAAGGAATGAAGGCTAAAACATCAATGAACCTTGAAAGCACCATGCCCAGTGAAAGAAGCCAGTCACAAAAGACCACATATATATTCCATTTCAATGAAATGTTCAGAACAGATAAATCTACAGAGACAGAAAACAGATCTGTGGTTATCTAGGGTAGAAAGGGAGTGACTGTCAATGGGTACTGGGTTTCTTTTTGTAGTGGTGAAAGTGTCCTAAAACTGATCATGGTGATTGTTGCACAACTCTGTGAACATACTGAAAAATATTAAATTGTAAAATTTAAATGGGTAAATTGTATGTCATGTACATTTTATCTCAATAAAGTTGTATTAAAAAAAAAACAGTTTCACAGTTATATTCAGAGATTTCAATACCCCTTTCTCAACTGATAGAACATGTATTGAAAAAGCATGGATCTAAGAGACCTGAACAATACTCTCAACAAAACTGACCTCTAGGTATCTTTGTAGAAGAAATGAAAACATATGTTCAAAACAAAGACAAACATTCATGGTGCCATTATTCATAATAGAGAAACTGGAAACGACTCAAACATCTGTCCACAACTGAATGCATGAACATTCTGTGTGGATGAACATACTGTGTTACATGCATACAGCAGAATACTCCTAAAGACAGTAAAAGAATGAACTATTAGTACACGCAACTACATGGATAAACCTCAAAATAATTACGCTGAGTAAAAGACGCCAAACAAAAGATTATACTACTCCATTTACATAAAGTTCTGAAAATGCCAATCAATATATAATGAGAGCAGAACAGTGATGACCTGGGAAGGAAATACCAGAAAGGACAGAAAGGATGGATTACTAAGGGAAATCTGAAAACTTTTGGAGGAAATCATTATGTTCATTTTCTTGATTGTAGTGATATTTTTATAGGTATAAACACATCAAAATTTTAACAATTTATATATTTTAGATACCTGAAGTTTACTGAAAATCAATTATATCTCAATAGAGGTATTAAAATATGCAAATGCTTGAGCCCCAACTCTAACTGAATTGGTCTGGAGTGGAGCTGGGCACTGGTATCTTTATTAATGCTTTCCCTTTCCTCTCCCCTTCCACCTCCCCTCTTGATAATCTGCCCCACCAAAACACAAAAGATTGCCCCTGGGGAATAGGACAGGGGGAGGGAGTTTAGATGAGAGACTAATTCTTTGCATTATAAGCTTTTTCTCTATAAACCCTAGAATATTAACAAACTGTTGTTAATGTGCAACAAAGACCTTACAACTTAAGAACAATTTAAAATCCAAATATTAAAGTTGAATATATATAACTTTGCAGAAAGTTCTCACGTGAGCCTATCTGCTCTCCCAATTTTATCTTCCCCAGAGTACATTTCTATTTAGTCTCTGAAGACCTGAGAAGATTTTAATGTAGTAGCAGAACTTATGGATGAAGTAATGATTCAATAATCCATATACAACTTTTAGTATTTTCACAATGTGAAATTCAAATAAATATCTATATATCATTTTTTTAATTTCCAAATTTTCATTAAAATTTGAAATTTTAGTACATCTAAAAACATAGATCCACTGTAGCTAGGTTTTTATATTAGCACATTTTTACAATAGTGGCAAAACTTGACCTTAAATAGAAAGGTTCTAACAGTCATTTTTTTACCAAAATTTCTGTTAAATAAGAGAACTGCAGAATTTTTACCTTTAACCAGCTACATGACGATACTGTATTAAGAAAGAAAAGAAAACAGTTCTCTCATCACTGTAGCAATTTTCTATAATCCCCCACTGAGAACCTAAACAAAGAGGTACATATCTAGAGCAAGCCAAAGACTTATCTCTGCCAAGGCAAATCCAAAAACAAAATTTTTTAAAATCTTAGTTTAGTTAAAATTCCTCTAACAACTCTAAGAATATACTAACATTCATATTTAAAGCAGAGTATGTAAAGTATGTAAATCTGATCCTTAAAATAACCAAGAGTTTTTAATATTCTACCACAAGATTATTTACATATGTGATCAAAATAAAATGGATGAAAGAAGAATTTTTAAATACTTATTTAATGCTTATTTAAGTATAGGATCTTTTTCCTCTTTTGAAATTTGATTCTCACAGAATCAATTCACAAAATAAATAATATGATATCTAGCTATGAAAATAAAAAATATAAAAATGATCAATTGCTATCTATCCCATACATTAAGTTTAGTATTTATATGACCATAATTATATTCAAACTTTTAAAAACAGTCACACTAAAAGAGCCAAGTTAAAATACAATTTGCTCTTTATGCCTTATTTTAAAAATTTAAATGTTTTTCTTATTACTATAACCCTTATTTCCCCTTAACCCTTATCAAGTTTCATCTATATCTAATGTTATTATGTCTATAAAATGTAAAATTAGTCTAATACCATCTGTTGATAGCATCTTTCAGAATGAGGAGGCATTAACTTTTGAAGAAAACTATAGTATACAGTAGCCATTTAAAAAATAAAATTTGAGTAATTTTTCTCAACAAATGTTTATATGTGCCTACTTCTTTTGAAAGTTACTTTTAAATTAGAATGACCCATTCTGGATTAACCTCAGGTCAAGTATCTTAATACTAAAGTGGGAAACAGAAAGACATGAGGACAAATAAGTAGTCATCCAAAAACATAAACCTATAATTCCAAATCAATGCATTTTTAAAGGTTCTGCAACGGGAATGGTGAATAAATTTCATCTTAAAGACCAATGCCAAGCAAATGATAGAGGCTAAAGTACTAACAAGAGAATTTTTAAAAGTCCAGTGGGCATCCATCAGAGTGCTAGATGCTGCATGGAAGACTTTATTACTACTGGTTTAGTTTCTTAATGCCAGACTAAAGAACATTTGATCAAATCACAAAATGAATGATTTTAGCAATAGTTATTTAACTTGGACAGTCTCATTTTCTTCCTCTATGAAACAAGAAGAATCTTAACTATATCAAAAGCTTGCTATAAGAATAAAATGTTAAAATGAAATAACACATATAAAATGCTTTATGAAGTATAAAATAATAAAATAATAAAACAACACAATTTATTTTTATTATTAGGGTTTATGCCCTTTTAATATATTTACTCAGAATTCTGATAAGTTGTTCTTACCAAGTTAGCAGCACTCACATTTGAAATATCTGAAGGGTCCATTTCACTTTCTATCCTTGCTTTCTCTGCTGAAAACATGTCATTTGCTTGCAAAGGAGGTGTGTCAGCTTGCTGAGTAATTGAAACACACTCCGTATCAATGTGAACAGCAGGTATTTCAGAAGTTCGCACAGAACTGTCTTGTAAAGTACTAGTGCCAGAGTTCTTGACATCATCCAATGTACTCACTGTGAACTAACAAACATATTTACAGAATGAATCAGAGATAGTAAAAAATACTCACAAACTACTCCATTCTAGAAAAACTGATTATAATAAACCTATCAACTAAAACAGTAGTTTACTGGCTGACAGACAACTCATTCATCCTTTTTTATGTTTCAAGTTTAAAAAAAGAAACATTAAGCAGCAATAAATTTTATTTGCACACCTACTATGCATAGGGCACTGTCTGAAATGTTTTATGAAATAAAGCTATATTATAATTACATTTTATTTTAGTAGGCTGATTCTTGATATTTCATATAGCTCACAAAAGAAATTCTAGTCACAAGTATAATACTTTGTCTTATATTCAAATAACTATAAAGGTATTTACATGGTTTTTCCAAAAGTTGTCTATTATCAAATGAAGGCACTTTTCACCAAAATATACACTTTGAGGCATTTTATTCAAAACATGACACTTGCTCTCTTTAAATAACATTAACAAACCTTAAAGTATCTTTCATGTAAAATCACATGGTACACAATACCAATTCTCAGATCTAAAAGAGAAATATACCATAAAAAGTATAGTATACCTGAGCATGAAGTCGCATTCATTATGTAATTCCTATCTAGATTTCCATATCCTCCCTATTACCCTTTAGGAATATTTAACACATAACTAACAGAAATAGGAAAATTAAGTCAAACAAAATATTGTCTTAGGCCAAATACATATCCATGTTTTTAACTTTCCAATTTAGTAAATAGAAACAAGTTTTTATTTTCACATTATAACAGAGTACAGAAAGAACGCTGCTGTGTTTTCCAATTATATTCAGAGTAATGAGCTACAAGTAGAATTAAAATCTAAAATTGTGAATTTAAAATCCACTCACAACACTATTTAAATAACATTACATAAACATTGCAGTAGCTATAAAACTCCCATTTTGATTATTTATATAAATATTAAACTTTGTCAAGTCTTATAAACTACTTTAAAAATCCTACTATTGGTCAAAACTTAAAGTGTCTCGAAGTGTTGATTTTAGTGTATTAAGTTGTATCACATTGTTTATATTACTATCGACATTATCTATACATTAGTCAACATAGTTTATAATCTTCTTGGCAATATTTATATTAGCATTACTGATGTTTACAATATAGTCAACTCTGTTAAAAAAATCAATATCATTTACACAACAAAATCAAAGCTAAACTATAAAGTAATGTTGAAAAAATATATAAATATGCTAATTCCATTTTTAGAATGACAGTGGAAAAAACAAATGTTATCAATTAGCTTGGACACCAATAGCAATGAACTTTTTATATTGAAATATTTTAGCAATACTTTAATTAAAGCTGTATGTATGGATTATCCCTAAAATCCCAAATCCCGTAAATTTATTCATTACACAAAACCAATGTAATTATTACATTGTTAAATTTTATAGCTAAAATATACGTTAGCAAAAAGTGATTTTGGGCGCCTGGGTGGCTCAGTTGGTTGAGCGACTGCCTTCGGCTCAGGTCATGATCCCGGAGTCCCGGGATCGAGTCCCACATCGGGCTCCCTGCTCAGCAGGGAGTCTGTTTCTCCCTCTGACCCTACCCCCTCTCATGCTCTCTTTCTCTCTCTCAAATAAATAAAATCTTTAAAAAAAAAAGTGATTTTTTTTTCTGTTGTCTTTGTTGTTATTACTGGTTTTCCTCTTTCTTTCTTTTCTTTACTGGACAAAATGGAAAAATTCACACAAAAAGAAAGAACAGGAGGTAGTACTCACTGCCAGAGATTTAATCAATACAGACATAAGTAAGATGTCTGAAGTAGAATTTAAAACAACGATTATAAAGATACAGGCTGGGCTTGAAAAAAGCATAGAAGACACTGGAGAATCCCTTACCAGAGAGATAAAAGAACTAAAATCTAGTCAGGCCAAAATTAAAAATGCTATTACCAAGATGCAGTCCCAAGTAGAGGCCATAAAAATGAGGATGAACGAAGCTGAACTATATGCTAAGTGATATAAAAAGATTTCTTGGGGCACCTGGGTAGTTCAGAGGGTTAAGTATCTGACTCTTGATCTCAGTTCAGGTCATGATCTCAGTTCAGGTCATGATCTCAGGATCACGAGATCAAGCCCTATGTGGGGCTCTGTGGTCAGCGGGGAGTCTGCCTGAGATTCTCTCCTTCTCCCTCTGCCCCTCCCCCCCATGTGCACAGGCTCGCTCTAATAAATAAATAAATCTAAAAAAAAAAAAAAGAAAACCGATTTTAAAAAAGAGAGAGAGATTTCTTCATCAAGTTTAACATTAAAAGGTTTCTTAAAGACATATCCAACAAAAGTACTGATTATTTCCTATGTGTTTAGGACTTGCTCCATAATGTGGGAATTTTTTTTTTTTTAAGATTTTATTTATTTTATTTGACAGAGAGAGAGAGACGGTGAGAGAGGGAACACAAGCAGGGGGAGTGGGAGAGGGAGAAGCAGGCTTCCTGCTGAGCAGGGAGCCCGATGCAGGGCTCCATCCCAGGACCCTGGGATCATGACCTGAGCCAAAGGCAGACGTTTAACGAATGAGCTACCCAGCACCCCATAATGTGGGAAATTAAAAGGCAACATAAGATACTGTTCACAAGGAGCTTCCAATCTCACATAGGCATATATACATTAAAGAGTTACAGAACATCAGGAACAATGTAAAATTAAGAGCCATTATCATCATTAAGAAGAAAAACATGGAAGTTGAGTACAGTTTCCAATAAAAATAAATATCCTAGAGGTAAAGAGAGAAAACTTTAAAAAGCAGATACTATTCTATTTTTTTTTAAAGATTTTATTTATTTATTTGAGAGAGAGAGAATGAGATAGAGAGCACGAGAGGGAAGAGGGTCAGAGGGAGAAGCAGACTCCCTGCCGAGCAGGGAGCCCGATGTGGGACTCGATCCCGGGACTCCAGGATCATGACCTGAGCCGAAGGCAGTCGCTTAACCAACTGAGCCACCCAGGCGCCCCGCAGATACTATTCTAAAGTGAGAAATATTGTAACTATTCTTCAACTTTTATACTTAGCTCCTGTGTCATATCAAAGTATATCTCTTATATTTCATTTTACATATAATTATACTAGTTGAACATGAACCTTTATGTAAACAAATACCTGAAAAATTCATTCATCAAATAAGGAAAATAAATTTCAAATGGACTAATAGCAAAAATACCTAGAATATCAGCTTTAAAGAACTGTATTAAATATTAGGAAATTACTCTACACTTGAATTGCAGGGCATAAAAGGAGAGCAAGTCCAAAAGATCCTTTCTTTCATCACCATTTTTAATAACACTCCAAATGAAGCAGTAGGATACTACTTAAAAGAAGTAATCAACAAACTTGGGCAAATTACTATCCTATGCCTCTAAATGCCCTCTAAGGGCAATCACTTTATTTCTGTGAAAAATACATAAGCTAACTTGGATAATGAACTGAAAAACATTCTACAAAAAAAGAAATGCAATGTATTCTTCAAAAACATTAACAGTGAAAGACAAAAATAAACTAAAAAACTGTCCCAGGTGAAAGATGTTTAAAAAAAAAAAGCTAAATACAATGTGCGATTCTAGATTGGATCCTGGCTCAGGGAAAAAATTCTATAAGGAAATTACCGGGACATGAATATGAATTATAAATTAAATGAAAACACTATATAGATGCTAAATTCCCTGAATTTTACAATTAAAATGGGTAAGTAAGAGTTTCTTTATTCTTTGGAGATTATTTAAGTAAATGGTTATGATGTTTGCATACTACTCTCAAATGTTTAGCATACAATATGTGTTTGTGATATATTGATATAGAGAGAAAAGAAAAAAATGAGGCAAATGTTAATCTGTGAATCTAGGTAAAGGGTATAGGAGGGTTCATTGTTCATTCATGTAACTCTTCTGGAGATCTGAGATATTTCACAATAGAAAGTTAAGTACGAAAATAAGACATTCCAGCATATACACATCTTTTATAAAAAGGCAATAAAAGGATTTTCAGAATGTACTACCTGGGTTCTTTCAGCAAGAGGATGGTCACAAGAGTATAAGGAGTCTTTGGACCAAGATTCTGTAGTATCAGAAGGTCCATCTCCAGCAAATTCACCTTTCTGTATGCTTTCATCAGGTAAAAGATGTATATTTTCTTTATCACTGTCATCCTTTGACCTTAATGTTTCTGTTGCTACTGAAACTTTTGTCATCACTGCTGTTGATCGTGAACGAACAGGCCTTCCTCTTTGAACAGTCTCCCATCCTTCAGGATCTTTCCGTTCTATGCAGTTGAGGGAAGGAAATAAATCAAGATTTCTTTAGATGATATTTTCAAAAATCTATAAAATAAAAACATTTTACAATCTAATTCCCATTAAATGTAACTAACATACAAACATGACACTAATTATCGTGCAAGGCATAATGTGTGTATGTGCATGTGTAATATCTAATACAACTACACTGTAGGGCAGGTATAATTTTCCCTATTTTACAAATGACAAAACTGAGATTCAGATTAAGACTGATATAAGGCCACAGAGTCAGAAAGTAATAATAAACATTTATACAGTGTATACTATAAGCTAACATTGCTCCAAGTGTGTTACACAGAATAACTCCTAATCTTCACAACAACCCTTGTAATACCAGAACTATCATCCCAAATTTGTCATTGGTAAAATCTATCATTTGTCATTTCATTTACCCCATTTGTCATTCAGAAAAATGAGACAAAGAAAGATTAAGTAATTTCCGAAGGTTGCATACCCAGAAAAGGTAAAGCCAAGATGCAAGTCCAGACAAATTGGTTCTGGTGTCCATGTCCCATTGGTTACATAAAAACTGCCTCTCTATCTTTCAAAATCCAAACATAGGCCTACCTCCAAAGTCCGAGATTTTTTCCTCTATCCTAGTACTAATGACATACATTTGGCTTAAAAAAAAAACTATTAAGACTATAGACTATTAATTGAAGGAATCCTAGAGGATCTAATCCAATATTTCACCGCATATACAAGGAAACTGAGGACCTGCGTCCAAAGTTTACACAGCAAAATATCCTAAAATAAATAAGAATCTTCCACTGAAATGTTTCAAAATGTCACAGGCTGAGGTATATATGTTTACAGTGATGTATATAGCTACAATTTTTAAATTTTATAGGCTAATTGTACTCTTTCAAAATTAATACAAAGACTTCCAGTTCTGGCCAAGATGGAGTAGCCCACCGTCATCTCCAGGTCCTCCTCCTTACAAGAGAAAGCCTTGGACAAAACATATAAAATAAACTTAGGAAGATTTTAAGAGACAGAAAGAAGTACAAGGATTGCCAAGAGACCCTGAGACTTAAAAAGCAGCACAGCAGTGAGTTCTCTAGGTTTCCTTATTATACTCCAGACAGGACGCCATACAAGCCTCCAACCCCAGAGGACCAATAGGCATAAACAAACTAAGCATGAGCAAAACCTGTTTTGCCAAGCCAAAGGACAGGGAAAAGAAAAGCCTAACAAAACAGAAAATCTTTTTGAAGATATTCACTCTATTCCAGCCGAAGATCAGTGGAAATCCTGTGCCTATGGTTTCAACAGGGTAAGCAAGGACCCAAAGTTCCACTGCCAACTACCAGAAGCAGATAGTGGTCCAATTCTCCCACCAAAGTAATGTCAGCAAAGTTGAATGGTGAGTTGAACTTCCACCTCCATCTGGCATTGACAGAATTAAATAAGACAGCAGAAACGAGTTGTTCATCACTCCACTTTCCCACACCCTGTCAGTGTGGCCCAGTGGGAAGATGAACCTCCATAACCCACTGAGCAGAAATGAGACTGAATGAGGCAGTAGAAGTCAGAACTGGTAGAAAGTGGTCCTCCCTACCCCAGGGTCAGCAGGGCCCAATGGTGAACACAGCCTCCACTTCCATTCAGCATCAAAGGCAGAGTGTGAAATAGGGACTAGTCAACATTTTGTTCTCCCCGTCCACCAATATCAGCAGATACCTGTAGAAAGCTGAGTTTCCACCCAACCAACATTAATACAACAAAATTAAGTGGTGGAAGGCAGATTTACTTGGCACTTGGATCTCCCTGCCCCTTGCCATGATATCAACAGGGCCAAGCAGGGAGCTAAGATTCCACCTCACTCTACAGCAACAAGATGGCGTGAGTTGTCCTCCCTTCACTTTGCCCCTCCATAGCTCAGGGGAACCCAAAGAAGAGATGAGCTTATACCACCAGGAGGAGCCAAGGAGATGGTAAAAGGTGATGCCCCAATTTTGCTGGGAAAGTGTCACTGGGAAAAAGAACAGAGTTTCAGGGACCTGTGGGCCAATAATAAAAGAGGTAATGTGTGTCATCAGAGTCCCAGAAGGAGAGGAGAGAGAGTGTAGAACTAAAGAAGTATTTGAAGAAAGAATGGCTGAAAATGAGCCAAGCTTAATGAAAGACATAAAACTACAGATTCAAGAAATTAGGAAATATGTCCCCCCAAGCCCAGGCTAAGACACATCATAATTAAACCATTGAAAAAAAAAAGAAAGAAAAATTATTGAGAGCAGCCATAGGGAAAAATATATTATCCACAGAGCAACATAAATTCTTATGACAGCAAATTTCTCGTATGAAATATTGCTGGCTAGGAGGAAGTGACACATTTTTCAGGGACTGAAAGAATGTCAATTGCAAATTCTAATCCAGTGAAAATATCCCTCAGGAATGAAGAGTAAATAAAGGCATTCTCAGATGAAGGAAAAACTAAAAGAACCTATCAGTGGCAAATCTGCCATTGAAGAATGGCTATACGAAGCTCCCTAAAGAAAAATGAATAAGAGAAGGTGGTTTAAAACAAATCAAACAGGGAATACTGAAATGAGTAAAAATGGAGGTAAATAGAATAAACTATTCTCATTTTCTTGAATCATGTTTGAAAGTAAAACAAAAAATTAAAACACCATTTGATGCAGGAAACAATATAATTAAGACAATTACATATAGAAGTAGCAAGAATAAAGGGAAACAATTAGAAGGTTTCTACATTTCACTCATGGTGGTAAACATCAAAGCCAGTAGAGTTTGATAACTTAACATATGTACAATGAATACCTAAGACAACAACTATAAAAAAAAAAAACCTATACAATAAAATATACTCCAAAACACTATAAATATGTCAACATGGAATCATAAAAAAATGGTCAAGTTACCCATAAGAAAGCAAAAAAAGGGAAACAGTAGAAAAAGAAACAAAGAAAACAGAAAAATAATAAAATGACATGCATATATCCTATCCTAACATATCAATAATTACCCTTAATTATAAAAGGTCTAAATATACCAAATGATAAAGACTAGCACAGTATATTTAAAAATACAATTGAGTTATATGTTATCTACAAGAAATTCACTTAAATACAAGGTCATAGGTAAATTCAAAGTGAAAGTATAGAAAAAGATGCACCATGCAAATATTAGTAAGGAAAGCAGGAGTAGTTATATTAATATCAGATATAGTAGACTTCAGAGCAAAGAAAACCACTAAAGAAATAAAGATACATTATATAATGATAAAAGCATTCCACAATGAAGATATACATCCCTAAACTCATATATACCAAACAGAAACTCAAGATACACAGAGAAAAAACTGATAAGGCTGAAAGGAAAAAGAGAAGAATACACAGTTATATCTGGGGATTTCTAACTCACTCCCAGAAACTGACAGAACTAGATAAAAAATCAGCAAGTATATAGAATTGAACATACAATCAACCAACTTGAAATAATAGCATATACAGAAGTCTACTCAACAACAGTAAAAAATTTTTTTTCAAATATATACAAAACATTCAATATGATAGACCATATTCATTCTATAAAACAAACTTCTATGGACCAATTCTGCAGTAAATACAAACTACCAAAACTCAACCAAGATGAAACAGACTATCTGAATAGTCTCATAATTATAATAGAAACTGAATTCGTACTTTAAAAGCTCCCCCCCAAAAATCTCCAGCCCCAGATAGTTTCTCTGGCAATTTCTACAAAACACTTTTAAAAGGATTAATAATTTTACACAAACTACTCCAGAAAATTGAAAGGAGAGAATACTCCCCAAGTTATAAGTCTAGTTTTACCTTGATATAAAAACACACAAAGACAGTACATAAAAATAAAACTAAATAACAATATTTCTCATGAACTTAAATGTAAAAATCATCAACAAAATATTAGCATATCAAATCTAGCAATGTATAGAAAGAATTACAAACCATGACCAAGTGGAATTAATTTCAGGTATGCAAACCTGGTTCAACATTCAAAAAATCAATGCAATCCACGACTGTCAACAGACTAAACAAGGAAAATCATATGATCTTATCAACTGATATGAAACAGTATTTCACAAACTCTAATACCCATTCAAGAGAAAAACTCATTAAACTATAATACAGGGGAACTTACTCAACTTGATAAAAACTATCTACAAAAAGCCTACAGCTAGGGGCACCTGGGTGGCTCAATCCTAATGTATCTGCCTTGTCTCAGGTCATGATCCCAGGGTACTGGTGCTGAGCCCGGAGTCAGGCTCCCTGCTTAGCGGAAGTCTGCTTCTCCTCCCTCTCCCTCTGCCCCTAGCCCCACTCATGCTCTCTCCCTCTCAAATGAATAAATAAAATCTTAAAAAGAAAAAAAATAAAGCAAAGAAATGAAACTGTCCCTAATTTCAGATGATATGATTGTCTACAGAGAAAACCCCAGAGGGGAATAAAAAAAAAGAAAGAAAACCCCAGGGAATACACATAAAATATCCAGAATTATTCATAAATTCAGTAAAGTTGTAGGATATAGGTCCAGGCACAAATCCACTGCATTTGTATATACTAACAGTGAACATGTGGAAACTGAAATTAAAAACAATTTACAATTACACTGGGGTGCCTAGGTGGCTCACTCAGTTAAGCATCTCCTTCAGCTCAGGTCATGATCCCAGGGTCCTGGGATCCAGCCCTACATCTGGCTCCCTGCTCATTGGGCAGTCCCCTTTTCCCTCTCCCTCTACCCCTTCCCTCCACTTTTGCTCTCTCTCTCTCTCAAATAAAAATCTTTAAAAAAAATTTACAATTACACTGAAGAAAATGAAATATTCAGTAATAAATCTAACAAAAAAGGTATAGTATATGTATCCTAAAAATTACAAAAGACTGATAAAAAAAGACCTAATAAATGGAAATACATATCATGTTCATTAGAAAATAAATGTTGATTAGAAAATTCAGCATAG